ATTTAGGTTTAAGCACTGGAAGCTTGGCAGAGTGTGTCGGACGTGTCACTGGTTCTCCGGTAATCTCCGAGCGATGCAAAATTTACGAGCCGAGCTCCCCGCGGAGAGTTAAATGAACTGTTGGTACCTCAAGCTGCGTCCTGTCAATCATTTGTGCAGGAGGGAGGGGGGCGGGCAGTTGTTGGCTGGCAGGCTGGGACCGCAGCCAATGGAGAGGGGCTTTGCATCAAGCCAGGCTCCGACGCTAGGGGCTATGAAGTGATAGCCTCTACCAGGCTTTGGGAAGAGGCTAGAAAGAGTAGAAATTGGTCAAATAGACAGACGATATGCCAATGGACTCGCTCTGCTCTGTCTCTGAGTCTCACTCTCAATTCTCTTGTAGGAAACTATAATTCATCAACATGGACGACAATGCACTTGCTGTTTCGAATCACAAAGGCAGACAAGACGGAGTCTCCTCAAACGATTCCTTCGCTCCTTCTCATGGTCTTCCGTCTAGGAGACATCTTGCCTCAATTTCGGGAGGCGACTGGATGGTGGGGAGCTCGCAAACATCGCGCCACATGTCTCTCATAAACCCAATTATCTCTAACTATCTCCCCTCTTCAGATGACTCTGCAAAATTCCTACGAAGGATAAATCCAAAGCCTCCATAGATCTAAATCCCTCGAGATTGTACTTAAATATTGTGGAAACTTCGACTGTCAAGAACTGCGAAAAATTTTGCTGTCGGCTCAGGGTACCGTGTATAAGTATGGGAAGCCGTGGGCCCTCACCGATCTACGTAGCTACCGTGTTTTAAGTATGGGAAGCCGTGGGCCCTCAAAAATAAGACTTTGTTGGAAAAGGGGAAGAAAATATTCGTTTATAAGAAACTTCCTTGAATCCCATTGGAGTCATAATATTGGGTTATTTTCCTACTAAGCAGGATAAATAGATGTTGCAAATGTCGTTGAAGCGGAAGAATGTTGGTGTCGGCTCAGGGAGAAATAAGACTTTTGTTGGGAGGGGGAAGAAAACATTCATTTACGGCCATTTACAAGAAACTTCATTGAATCAAATTCAGTTTCTGACAGTGTTTGAGGCTATAAACTATAGTCTAAAGAGATCACGGTTTTTAAAAACCCTCAGTGTCGGTGCAAGTGATGCCGCAAGCTTTGAAGCCGTCACTTTCCACTTTGTAGCCGATCAGTCCTGAATCAGGGTGACACCACACATACCTGATCGTGTGGCAAGGGCAGACGGGCCCGGGAGGATCAGTCTAAAGACATGCTGATGGTTAGTGATAAGAACGAGCCGCTATAGTATTGTTTCTCTCCAAGCAGAAGTTTGGGCGTCTTCTTGTTTTTGACGTATTTTAGGCGTTTTAATCAGGCTTTATTTTTTACGTATTTTAGGCAAATGCAATGGTAACCGACATGACAAATGCTAACTGCCTGGCAAATGTTAACCGCTCGGCAAATGCATACTGTCCAAAGATCTGCTTGGAGATTACATTGTTGTGACAACGTCGTCATCTGTCTGTGCATCTCTTTTTCCTAATCTCCAAGCAGATGCAGGGTCTGACTCTGTCTCAGTGTTTAACATGTGTTATTTTGTGGTATTAAAGGTGTCTTAAGTATTTTCAGGGCAGCAAAACTGGATTCGATGTCAATGTAACGTTCTTTGATTTTTTTTATGTAGCAAGATGAACCAAGTATCCTACGTAAATCCAAAATCCAGCTAGCTGTCTCATTATCATCAAAAGAAATCATAATTAGATTCTTGTCGGCGTTTGGTTCTCTCACGGTTACAATCTCGAGCTCAGGCTTCGTTAAAAATTCTACGACATCAAAGATCATCAAAGTCGTACGTACCATCGACGACCTACGACAATACCGCATCATGTTTGATGATTGCTTGGCCCAGCTTTTATAAGTATTACAGATATGATTAACATTCGAATCACACCATCATTACGCTTGTATGTACAACATCATACGCTTGTACACCTCGCAGGAGTCAGTGGTCGCTAGTGGGGATCGGATGATTAGAGCAGAAATGAATCGGAACTTTCCCCCCAAGGCGCTTTGCCCGCTTCTCTTGTGGTTTAGCGGTTCGTCTTGTTGCGAACGACACGCGGCGCACTAACAGCCCATTTACTCTCATCAAAGAACGGGCCGCGGTTACTTCGTTACCGTTTCATTCTGCGCATCTTTTGATGTTGTAAAAAATATGCTCGGCGGGGTGAATATTTTTGATTATTTCCTGTCATTTTCGGTATATCGCCGCCGGCTCGGCAGATTTCTAGCATCTTGGCCCAATTTCCCCTTGATCGGGTCGACCGGAGAGTAGCCTGGGTGTCAGACTCTTGCCTCGGCTACACCACCTCTACAGGCTTCAGAGGTGACTGGAAAGAGTAGAAATTGGCCAAATAGACAGATGACACGACAGTCCGGTCCGCTAAAGGAATACATGTACATTTGCTATACATTTTCTGCTTTTCACGAGCGGCAAATGTACTCCAGACCAACGTCGTTTCCTGTCTATTTGACCAATCAATTTTTCTACTCTTCAGTCCTGTCGCTTCCTAAGTCTGATAGAGGCTACTGGCTCGGTATGTTTCTGGCATCTTGGCCCAATTTCTCCATGACGGGCCGACCGGAGAGCGATCGAACCTAGCCTCTACCAGGAAAAAGTAGAAATTGCCCCCCAAAAAAGATAAAACATGCCAGGGGATTTTATTTAATTTGGCCAATATCTACCCTTTCCAGCCGCCTCCCGAAGCCTGGTAGAGGCTAGCTCGAACCCTACTTGTCGGCCAGTGATTAGATCTGACCCTGGGATGAGCCCGGCGCAGCGGGAACTTGAAACCGAAGATGAGATGTATTTTATCTTCCCGGTTTGGGATTCCTCCAGGCCTTGAGGGCACAATTTCTTTGTATCGGCGTGGACAAGATTCTTCTCTTCTTTCTTTGTCGTAGAAGGAGACAATTTGAACATCTTATATTGCAGTTTCTGGAGGCGTGGGTTTGATATCGCTGGTATGAGTCGTCTGTCGGTTTTAGCAAGCATCTGCGATTGTTTGGGTTGGAAGTTGAGGGCGTTTTGATAATTGGCAAATCCGCTATTTTTCGGCCATGAATATACATCAGTATCAGTCGATACGATTTGCATCCTTTTGATAATCTATACGCTTTCAACCGCCGACAGACCATTTCTATCGAATTAATTTAAGATCCGATAATACTAGTAACTCATATGATACAGATAATATCATATCAAAACGTCATAAAGAAAACTGATACATTGTACCAGTTTTTACGATGACAATGTTTCTTTTCGTTATTTTCGACGGTCTCTTGCTTTTGAAACAAGCTCTGTACAAGTTCTGTATCTGTATAGACGGTATAACCGCCATGCAGCGTAACACTATAATGTTATATTCGTTTTCAGGGAAAAGGCATCGTATTAAACAGAATGGGAGTATGTTACTCACACACAATGAAAGATTATAAATTTTTAAGAAACGGAAGATATAGATAAGTAGTATGCATTTAGTTTAGTCAGTACCTGAATAGAGATGGTGGATTCGTCTGAAAGTTTCTACGGTTTGACATTTGTATCAGTTTAAATCCGCCCTGTTACCATTGTTTACTTCAGAATGTAGTTTATTTCAAGTTCTTGCCCGTAGGCTAATTTATGGGTTTTGTGATGTTAAGGGGATGGTAGTTTTCTTTTTGTCTGTAAACGTGGAGAACTTAGGATGGATAATATTTTCGTACGTGCTTTAGCTTCCACCCCTCCGCGTGGGAAGTGCGCTCGTCCGTTTGCCAAATTTGGCAGGCTGCACTTGTCCGCCAGTCGAAGGTCTCGTCTGTCACCCAGGGCCCCCGACGGCGCGAGGTTTCGCCAGGAATGACCCCTAAATGTGGTGGAAAATATGTGGGGCGTTTCGTTCACGCTTCCCGCCCTCGGGCCACGAGGAAACCTCCGTCTTCTGTCGCCAGTTTCATGGTCCGCGCACCAACCCGTGACCTTTCCTAGCTGCGTGCTTGGCCGGGTTTCAGTCGGGCTAGCAACCGTCCCACCCCTCCGCTCCCAGTGGGACCTTCCATCTTTATAACCCGTGCTTTGTTGACATTGCGCAGATTACAGCGCCAGCGTGGTTAATTTTTTACAATCTTTAACTGAAACCAATGTAAACAACCGAGGCTATTGAACCATAATGGCATTTTCCATTACATATGTGACCATTTATATAACACGACACAGTTATTTTTTTTCTCTTTTATATAACTTTTAGTTACGTGCATTGCGTTGTCTTTAAAATCTTAATACAGTGAAGTTATCTTTTTAATATGAACGTCACATTTCGATGATTTTTTTTTTACGAGAAATGCCCTTTTTTTACACCTAGGAGAAGGAGAATAAAACATACCAGGCTTAACCATACAGACAGTTCACTTTGTAAACTTCCGGATTTACTGGTCATGGGGAGCGCATTGTGGGTCTTAGAGCGCACGCAATGCGTTAGAATAGCACACAGACACACACACACAAAGTGCCAGACCAACCTTTCCATTACTTGGGCGTGCCCCGGTCTTACCAAATGATGATATCCGTCTGAAAATCATTACTATTATGAGATTATGGGGATTGTTGTGGTGTGCTTGGGTAGCTATCATAGCGTGAAGTCGTGTGCAAGTAAATGCATCCCTCTTCTGGTGGTCGGACCGTGGTCCCTTTCCGTTTTTTTCTCCATCTTAGCTTCCTGTGACTCATATCTGAGATATTTTAAAAATTGAGTGCTTTTCGATTACTTTTTAGACATTTGCCAAAAAGTAAACAAACATATCCATCCTCCACCGCAAAAAGACCAGGTGTCAAAAGTCTGTTGTACAATTTGATTGGCGGGCAAACATTGTGCCCCCCTTTTTTTCTTTATCATATTTTTTTTGTCTTCCAATCGTGGTCGTCATAGATTACGAAATGTGAGAACATACCCCCTCCACCGTACTTCACGTAGCCCCACAGGATCTAACCAGGTTCTCTGGGATCTACATAAGGGGTGTACTGTTGCGCTGGGGCCTTTGTTTCCCCCTCTCGCACCGCCTTTGAGCCGGGCCCGCTCCAGAGTTGCGAGTGAAACCCTACCCGCACGCGGTATTAGGACATGGGCACTTGAACGGGGGCCCTTTTCATGTGACTCTAGTCAAACAGAACGGCTCGCCCCCATTTGTGAGCGGGGCGCTCGGGTTCAGAGTTTGGGGAGAGCACTCTCCGCAAGGGGTCTAGCCAGGCCACCAAGTTTTCGGGGCGATATTCGCCGATTTCGGACAGGATCTGCCCGCCAATAGGATCGGGAGTCCCGGGACAGAGATTTGGCGGGGTGCATTAGCATGTGAATAGCGGGTTTTTGGGGCAGCGGCTTTGTGAATCGGACGGGAGTGGAGCTTACACGGTTCGGGTTGCACTCACAGAGCCAAACACGCCTGCTCCGTTGGCCGGACGGTTAGTACGTACACCACCGGCCCGTCCTGATTGGATTTTTCGCCGTGTTGTAGCCCAGCAGGGATCCTGGAGACGTGGAATCCCTGCCGGGGAAGGCTACAACTACCGCTCGGGACCGCGTGGCAGCGACATTCCGGTCGTGGATCGGCAACAGGCGGCGGAAGAGGCACTGGAAGCTCGCTCGGGCCGTCGTGGCACCGCTGGCCGAGGGGGTGTTATTCTATCCGCGGCAGTCATTTTCTGTTGGTATTTGCGGGGTAAACAAGCTATTGAAAACAAAATTTCCTCGGAAGGGAGAAGCCTCCGTCTCCTTCGGACACCGTTTCCTGGGAGTGTTAATGGCCTAAGTGGAGTTGGCACACGGGAAAGTCCTTCCACCGATTGATTCATTGTCGCAGTGGGACCTGTTGCATTTTTGCTGTAGCGAGTTTTTGTAACACCGTTGAGTGAGTGGCGGGACCGGGGGAGGACGTGTGGTGCTCTCTCTCTCGTACTCAGAACAACCTCAGCGGACAACGAACACAACATTTCCCGTCAAAATGCTCGCCTAGGACCGCTACTAGCTACGGGAATCGAGACTGTAGGACTTCGTGTCTGTGTGGTGGAACGAGGTACAGTCGCCGCTGCTAGCGCGGGACCTGTTGCCCCAGTACTCGTACCGCGAGTTGTTGTCGGGGATATAGCAGGAACAACAGTCATGTGTCAGGAGGACTACAGCAGAACGGAGTCGCGCCACCGGGACTTGATATGCCGGGGCTGCGAGGCGGAGAGGAGGAAAAACAGGGAACCACCTGGTCACCATTCCCACTCAGGCTGCTCTAGAAGGTGTCCTCTCTACTCTCTCTTGCTCCCCTACTCACCCCTATCTGTATATGTTTGTGTTGTGCGCCGGGGTTCTTTCACAGATGGCTTCCCAGGGTTTTGATGTACCCTCTATCGGACGTTACGGGTTCGAAGCCCGGTCCAATTAGCCCCCCATTCGTGCCAAACATCCATCCATTTGGCATCAAGGCGAATGTTTGTTTGAACCACGTAGAAATAACCCTCACTGTACACCATTTTTGTGCAGATAGAGCCTGTAGTTTTCACGAAGTCGCCTGGTTCCCGCACTAAAAGGGGGGTCGAAGTCCATTTTGAGAGCTGCTTTCCCCGGCTTGTTTACAATATCTCCAGATCTGTGTGCTTTCCAATATCATCTTGAATATGCATCGCCCGCCCTGGACAATTATGTTCTGCTGGTTTTCAGACTGACTGGGTACAGCGTTTTCCTGTGCCAAGTAATTTGTTAGGCTCTCAGGGGTGGGAAATGGTATGTTTTGTTCTAGTTGAACCGACACGCAAAAATGTCACAGCCGGCATGGGAGGGTATTTTGTACTAATGTTACCCCTTTTTCCTTACTATTTGTTTACCAAACACCGAGGCCTTGAACAGCTAGGAAGCCGTGTGTTTTTTCTTCGGCTTCCGTGAAAACGTGCAAGCTAAACAGTTTACATTCAACAGGAGAGAGACTTAATTTACGGGGACACAAACTCGGAGGAAATGATGATTGTGTGGAAAAATCGGTGGGAGGCGAGCGAATCCTTAGAACTACATTGTCTGTGAGTCTATTTGAGTGGTTCATTAATTCCCCGTGGTGTCTGTGCGAACAAAAGAACACTAATGCCTTCATAATGTCTCCTCATTATCACCCAGTTGACGATTTTTTCTCTCTCTTGTCTCTCTAGATTTTGTGACTCGAGTGTTAGAAGAAGACCTGTTGACCAAACGATGGCCATGCTATGGACCTTACTCCTGTTCTTCCTACACGTCCAGTCGACGCTTGGAGCGCGAGGTAAGATCATCATTTCCTCCATTTTCACGCCTCCGAACAAGTAAAAATGTGTGGCCAATTTGTGGACCCTCCTCTGTAGATTTTCCACCAGAGTTGTCCCATTCAGTGAGCATGAACATTGTCGTGTAAATGCCGCTCGTTTGGCCCATCATTAGTCGCCATTCAGGGCGGACTATTATTTTCGCAGCAGCGCACCTCAATTATAGAGAATGATGAATAAAAAAAAGGACCAGCCCCAATCTTTAGGGAAAAGAAAAGGGGACAGATAAAACTGCTCTTCAATCTAAATTTGCCAAGAATGAATGGACGGGGAGGAATGTTATGGACTATTTGGACAAGAAATCACACGGATGGTTTGCTATGCCTCCGCTGCACCTCGCGAGCTCTGCGAATTCTTCCTTCTAAATTTTTTCCCCACCCAAACTTGTCAGACGATTTGTGACAGTTTTATCAGAGCCAATCTTCCTGCCACTCAACGCTCGAATCCCTTTTTTCGGGAGCCCGTCACCGGAAAATTGGGGTTGGCCCTAAACAGTAGGTGTTCATGCCACTGAAAAGGTTGGGAAATCCTAGCCCCGGGCTATTGGTACATATGCGCTGGTGCTGTCTATTGACAAGAAGTTTCGTATATACTATGTTACTGGCGAATGTTTTTAGAGTATGAAATGAGTACATTTTCAGGAATTCGCCCCCCTCCCTCCAAATCCTTTGCATGGGTGATCTTCTTTGCACACTTCAAGCCTAGGTGTGAATATTCTCGAGTGAGGAAGAACTTCACACGCCTAGAAATCCTGTCGTCACAAAATATTTTACAAGGTTTCAAATTTAACACCACAATGTTTAGCAAGTAAATTAAACTGGAAGAGTTTTTTTTTTCATATTCCAACTCATAGGTAGCCATCCAACTAAGAACATTCAACTAGAAATTGCAAAGTTAAACAAATTTGTGTTTTTTTTTGTCAGAGAATAATTTCTTTGTTGTAAACACTGACTGCAGCTTAAACTTGTCTAATATGAGCAGAAAATGACCTATTTTCAGTAAGAATAAAATCTCTGGAACAATATCTTTTGCCTAGTTGTGGACACAAGACAAAAGACGAATGTCGACTTCTTTTGTTCGCCTTGCCCCGAAAATTATAGTCAGCCTAATCCAGGATTTTAAAATTTCTTTTAGGAGGATTTGTGCTTTTCAGATGCACATGAGAGTTTGGGGCCAATTTAATCCTCAAGGATAAAGGTACACAACCACGAAAGTCTCATGGGGTAGAGGCATGGGGTAAGAGTCTAAGACCAAGGGGAAATGTGTATTCTGGACAAAAAGAAAACATTTTCTAAGATTTCTGAAAAATAAACATCCTTTAGAGGGTTGATTGTTCAACTGTTTACTGAAAAACAGAAAATGTCCTGGTATAAACAAAAGATATTTACTGTCAAGAAAGAAGTTGACATACTTGCAATATTCAGGAACTTCCAAAATTTTGGCTAAACAGATACTGAACGTATGGTGTATTTAGCATTCCCCAATGTGTACTAGACATTTGGGGAGATAATGCAGCTGCTGTCCTTGTAAGTTTGTCCCCCTGTATGCCTTGGCCCTCCTCACGTACGTCAGCCAGTTGATATGGTTGTAAAAGACATGTCCCAGTGACACATCGAGCAGCCTACACAACACCGTTTATTCCTCGTCATATTCCCCAGTGCTCCAAAGAGTGGTGAAAGGAAAGAAAAATTTATACCAGAAAGGAGGAAGTGCAAGATTTACTAGGGTTGAAAACTGGACGCATTTGAATGCCTGGGTGTTCCAAAAGTGTGGGTCTCCCACTGTGAATTTTATTGCAGGGGAGGCTCTTCCTATTACCGGGGTCATTTCTGTGGCATATATGGGGCATAGGGGCGTCCAAGTGTAAGGCTATAGCCTTCATGTCGGCCAGAGTATCTGTATTTAGAAGCTCCAGGGTCGGATAGAGCATCGGCGGCCGTGCCGACATCAAAAGAAGGTTAACCCAACATTTGGAAAACCAGTTTCGAAATAACCCACCAGTGTATCGTTTACACGCAACATGTCTTTCCGGATGATATTCGTTATAGTTATGTTAGTAATTTTTTTTATTCATGTGTATGCGTAACAACCCAACACTTGGAAAACCGTTTTCGAAATATCACGCCAGTGTATCGTTAACATGCAACATGTCTTTTGGATGATATCTGTTAATGGTTATGCTAGTGATTTTTCTTATTTCTTTGGATGAGTTAACAAGTGCTTCTTCGTTTGAAATCTGGAAGAAAATTGTACGCAAATTTTCGACTACACTATTTTTCCGTCATGTCTTGTGGCGCGTGTTTGCAACATCTTTCCTTGTTGAATTTTGGATTGGCGAAACCTTTTATACCAAATGTCACGGGAGCAGGTATTTTGTTGCGCCTGAAATTAACTCTGCCCTCTGATCCCTTCAAAGACTGGGATTTTCATCTTACCCCCTAAATGAGTCGCGAGCCAGTCGCAGGATAACCTGAATTATTCAAAGTAGCTCTCTCCGAAATTCTGTCATTGTCTGAGTGAAAACATTAAAAACCTACTGAAGAGGGCTGTTTCTTCATTCTATGATTAAAAAAATGCTAAAACATGCAACATGTATGATGAAAATATGAATACTAGTAAATATTTTGGCCCCCATGCAAGGATCTGAGAAATGTCGTTCTGGCCTTTTGCTAGTAAACATGGAAAACCAAAGAGGGCTGTTTCTTCATTCTATGATTTAAAAAATCATAGAATAAGAAATATTTTGCCCCCATGCAAGGATAAAAAATGTCGTACTGGCCTTTTAATTTGCTACTGGTAGTTTTGTGGTTCTGAAACATGGCAGCCGCCTGAAATGAAGTGACGCTACCCTTTTAAATGCTCCCAGCAACAAGCACCTAACCCATGCCATTAACCCGCCGTTTCTCCGAATCTGAAAGGTCATCTCAAAGTCTAGCAGTGACAATCATGTATAAATACTTAAATGTAACAACCTGGTTGGATCGCTATGCTTGCCGAGGTTCTCAGGGGGGGGCAAATCTTTTCAAGGTGGCAGACGTTTGTCAAGGCTTCATTTGCAAAGGTCACGTTTCCAGAACGTCTTTTTAACCGTGTGTACATTTTGGCAGTGGTTAAGCATGTAGCGTGTAATGCCACGGGCGCTTGTCTCAAGGCAGATTTTCAGCAACCGGTTGGGTTCGTGTTCAGCATGCTAATGTGCCGCGTTATTGTCTGAACTTCCTACACAGTTGCGCCGCAGGTTTTTTTTGTTTGTGTGGCCGCTTTTTTGTACAGGGTTTCAAGGTGTAAAACATCAAAAGACTTACTTTGTCAGCCAGCCAAATTGCATTGACTCTTACTTAAGTAGGACCAAAAATAGACCTGTCAGATTGAAAACTGAAAGTCATTCCTCTTTGTTGTCGCTGAACTTTGCTTGCCACTTGGCTTTGAGTAAAACCTGTTTTGATAGCATTTTCTTTTGTTTCAAAGAACACAGTTGCAAGAAGGAAGCTCGTTTGCCTGATCCTAACACAGCCATTGACGCTTGTCCGTTGTTCTGGATAATCCGATCATCTTCAAGGTCCCTTCTCATCTTCATCATGCAAATTGGTCGAACTTGAGAGAGTTGTTGTTCCTAATCAGTACCAAATGCAAGTGACACGGAGAGCTAGCTGGCACCTTTAGAAGTTTTTTTGGGAGGTGATCTGTTGTGGTGTCACACCAGCTTTCAACAACCAACCCTGCCCCCAAGGAATCAGCCTGCTCAACCAGATACCCCCACCATTTCACAAGGTTAAGAACCAAGAGATCCCTATCGCTTGATTATACACCGAGCCCTGACAAATACAATTGCCATCTGGCCAAAGACTGTCAGTAAAAAAAAAAATTACAGGATGCGATTCCTGAAATAGTTCCTCCTGGATTAGATGGTCTCCTAGGTGGGGCACGTGCCATATGGCAGTTACCCATCATCCTGAGGGAGGTGGAATTGTCTGCTCTGTGAAAAGATGTCTTTCTTTTTCACCTGTGCCACAGTCCTCGCAAGACTAGGGCTTGAAATACTTCTTTTTAACACACCAGCACTGTTGCAGCTAAAATTCTCATTCACTGGCCCTCATTAGGCCTTGGAAATCAACGAAGAATAACTGTAGAGGCAAGCCAGTTGTCTTTAGATATAATAAGTAAATAAATAAGCATTGAAAATTACCTGCACCAGAAAAGTTTCCAAAGTCTATCAAGCTGAGAAGGGTGGTCTCTCGGATGCAGTTCTTCCTGGAGTATTTTATGCACTTCCTTTCAGGATGTGTGTTACTAAAGCACTTGTTGATAAGGGTGGAAAGTTGCGAAATGCAGAATTACATGTTCTCCAAGGCATGTCTAATCTTCGGAACAGGATATAATGTACTGTATGGTTCAAAAAAAGGACCAGACATGTCTGATAAATGTTGGAAACCATGTTAACCCAGGTGTTCATGTTGTATTTTAACGCCTTACAATGTTCAATCTTCGAGTACACACATCCTGACATAGTGCAGGGACATAACCCACATAGCAGTACCTCTTGGACAGGGCTGTTTCATCCAATGGCTGAAGGAATTTTGTTGCTTTTTGTTTTCCATCTACTCAGTGCAGCCCAAACACTGGTCTGTCCAGTATGTAGTTTATGTTTACAGGCGAAGAGCACTTACTAGGATGTAGGAAAGGAAGTGTTTGGTTGGAGCCGTAATTAAGAGCAGCCACAAACTGTATCATCATAATTGGTCCCCAGGTGAAAGTTTAGTATCCCTTTACACCAATTACTTGTAAACTTTAAGCTGCTCTATTAGCAGTGTGATGCTAGACAAGCTTTCTGACCTAGCAGCTACCAGTACTCAGTCTCCGAGCGAGGACTTGGGATTTGTTTGGTAAATGAAGACATGGCACAAGTCAAATGCCTTACAGTTACACAGCAACAGGAGGTTTCATGGAGTAGTAGTAGTGT